GGGTATGAGAGGAATCTTGGGCCAGACTACCCAGACACCCTAATAAGCGTTAGCAACCTGGCTCGTGTGCTTCAAAGCCATGGAAAGTACAAGGAATCAGAGACGATGTACCGGCGTGTACTTGAGGGGCGCAGGAGGATTCTTGGGCCTGACCATCCCGGAACCCAACTAAGTGCCAACAACCTGGCTGCGGTGCTACGGCTCCAAGGTTATGGTACCGATTGAGCGATGGTTGAGCGGCGTGCGGGGCAGACACTCCCAGGAAACCCGGTGGATGCGCAGGCACAATTTGCTCATCGCGATGTCGGTTAATTGCGGTGGAGAGTTGCCTTCCGCAAGGGTGACAGCTCGGCATGGTGACCCATCACACCTGAAGAAATTCTGCTGTCTTGAAGATCGTTGGTGCTCACATGAATATCTTCGGGAGTCTTGTGGTCCGCGCACTTTATATGTTTTTGTCTTTACCAATATTTCTTTTGTGATTTATCTATTTTATGTTGTCCGTAGGGTATGTGACAGTAGAAGGCAGCTGGCTGGAATTTCTCGTAGGGTAGTAGTCTTTCCCGGCTCTCTCATCTCTGCGGGTGGAGAGAAGCAAGGCAACTATGCCTACTCGGGACTTAGTCATTCGGCGTTTGGTGGCACTAGGGCGAGTTAAAAAATGTTGAAATTTGGCCTTATGCCATTGCAGGTAATTAGTTTTCCTTTTTTCTTTCCCAATATAACTTTGTTACTGTTTTGGGGATAGAATGGATGTATCATTATTTTCCAACCCGGTTTAAATATTTGTTCATATATGTGTTGGAGATCTCCTTTAGTTTACAGTTCTTTATAGGAGCTTGGAATACAAGTTTGAAACAGCTGATATTGCTATGCCTTCATATCATGTCGCTACTGCGCCAGCTGGGGGGACCGTAGAAATTTTCGTGGGTAACAGCTGCAGAGCGTGGAGGGCTACGGTGAATGACAAACGGGAGAGAGGCCATGAATGGCCAGCTTTTGAATGAAGTATAGTACGGGGCAAACTGTTTGGCACTTTTCTTTTCATTTGGTATATCAATTTCTATCGTTCCTTTTCTCTTTCGAGGATAGGAAAAACTGTGTTAAGCTTTCTCACCCGATAAGCCCCTTGCGCCCAACTTCTCCACTCCTTAAATCATGAGAAGTCACTCGTTTAATTTATTTCAACCCGGGATCATAATATTATGATAAATGCCTAAATACAATCAGAGTTACCCACCTACCCCCCCACCCCCTGTCTCCTAGGCCCTGTGCGACCTTACGTTCTGAGACGTTAAATGGAGGTTTAGTACCCCATCAGGTGTCACCAAGCTGGCTATGCTCGTGTGACACTAGGTACAGCACGGAGGGTTAGACATAATAGGCCGTTCGTTATCTAGTCTATTTCCAAACGTCGGCACTGACTTGTGTATTACAACACACAGATTTAACTCATTACTTGTAATGTTTGTAGCTGTTCCCTTTATTTCTCTCGTTTAAGATATCAGAGGTGCAGACTCCATTTACCCGCAAATGTGTGGTAACTTTAGCTTAATATCTCTTCAAGAGGAATATGGAAGCGAGGTCTGAAGTCCCAGGAAGTGAGAGGCAGTTCGAGGGAGAAAAGGACTATTGGGAAGACATAAGGAGTAGCGAGGATAATAGAAGAAGAAAAGTGAAATGAAGAAAAATAAAAATGAAGAGAGGAGAAGGGAAAGAAGAGAAGATGAGAAACGAAGCAATGCCAGAGCAGTGTTTGCAGGCGGCCAGAGCGGGCTATAGACATCGGACAGAAACACAGTCTGCCCAGGCGAGGTCAAAGGGAGATTAACCTGGGCTTTCGTAAGCCTGGAATTGTAGGTGCTAAAGATGGCGATTTTGGGCTGGGTGGGAGGCTGGGGGAGGGCACAGAGAAGAAGCTTTGCTTGCTGCACTCAAAAGAGAAAATAAAGTAGACACATACACGGATGGAGAAGCAGAATAATAGCAGGGTCCTTTGGCTGCTCTTGAATCACAATTCCTCCATCCCCAAATAGCATGGTCCTTCCTCCCTCTCCTCCTTTCACCGTAGCCGTTGTAGTTTTTGCAAGATTGGCCAGACTCCCGTTTCACGTTCGTAGTTCCTAGGGAGAAAAGGTCCCTTATTGACACTCCCGTCCCACCTCCCCCAAAAGGGCCTTTCGCCCCCAGAAACTTCCAGTAACGTCAAGAAACCCTAAGAAAGCAATCAGGTATAGGATTCACAAATATAGGTATTGTAAAGCAACTCGAGCCAACCTTCCACCTCCGGAGTACCTAGGGGCATTAGCAGGCCATCGCTATGTGTTGTGTGGTTAGCAAATATCTTGTCAATGCAGAGCACCAAGAGATGCCTGAAAATACTCGCAGATGCGTACAGATATGTGAGTATACCGCCGGATATCGGTGGACATCTTGGGGCTCTTGCAAATATCTTTGGGTCCCTGCGGATGTCTGCAAGTACCCATTGGTGTCTGCATATATTCACATATATCGGCCCTTGTGATGCCCATGCCCGGGACATGCAGGGAAGTGGACGGGATGGAACATTACGGCAAGTTCGAAGCATTGAGAGGAGTTCCCGATAGTGGGAAATTTTCATATTTCACGGTATATTCCCGGAAATGTATTACTTGGACGTTATCGATTATCATTATTTGATTATCTAACTGTTTTCTTTCTTCATCACGGATCTCGGATTCACAGCACGTTCCCTCCTCACATCATCCCTACCACGTGGTTTCCTCAGGCGTACCTTGTCCTAGTAATTCCACACCGGAAGAGACAGTTTTTGCCTCACCCTATCCTGACCACCCGGCCGGACACGGCCATTTACGTGAGGACATACCCTTACACTTCCGATCTTCCCTACAACCCGCACTTAGCGGTCATTCATCCACCGACTCATCGAAGGAAGGACCCGGGCGGGAACTCGGCTGCATTGTGGGGTTTCATGGTCCAGCTGCTCAATGAGTTTATGAGTGACACGCAGCTGGTCCTCAGGAGATATGGGTATCCAATGTAATGGGAATGGTCGACGCCAAGGAAGCGAGTTCTGATAGCGGTTATGGAATAACTATGGGATTTTGTGCATGATTCTGGAAGTGAGGGGCTTATAGCGGATTGTTTGGGAGTGATGTGGATTTTTCCGGGGGTTCGGTGATTTATGATGTGGTTTCCCTGAATATGCCTTTCCTTTAGTGTTAAGGGAGTGTAGGGAGGAACATGGGCATGCACCGAGGAAGAAAGAGGCGCGTAGAGATTCACGGAAGGATGGGGGGGCTTCGTTTCTGTTTCACATATCAAGTTATCTTTCCCATTAGTTTGAGTAGTGGAGACAAACAAGACAACGCAGCTTTTTATCGCGCCCATTCGGCACGCCCGCTCCAATACACACCTATATCACTCATCATACCGCTGCGACATTTCTTGGTCACTGTACTTCCGAAGCTCTTCCCCGGCAACCAGCGGAGACGGCTTTCCCTAAGGTTGGCTAGACGGGCCAGGAACCCATTTAACAGGACCGTGGGCATGTTGAACAGGACGGATTGACGGTTCGCCTGCGGAGTTTTACCGGTAGTATGTGTGGCAGTTAGGCGTGACGACGAACGTCGAAGGAATGGGGAAGCGCCAGACGGCCAAGATATTGCACAGATACCCTAAACATGCCAGCCTTGTGCGACCTTCGATATTGCTTGCCCTGTTTCCATTAGGAATTCCCCCAGATGCATCCATCGCCCTTGTTTGTGCCTAATCCAAGTCGGCTGTTTTTCATGGCCCCCATGATATTACAGCTATCATATGGTCGCTACGATGTAGGGGTATTGTGTAAATCTTTTTCGCAGCCGTAGGGGCCGGCTCCACCTCGGGCACTTGGTGTCTGATTGGGTTTTCGGGTAAGATTATGTGCTTCTTTCGCCATGAAGAGAGGGCCGCCCTTTATTGGGAAAAGAAGCTCGGAAGAGGCGAAGGTTTCTTCCAGCGATGGGCTCAACAACTCTATTCGTGTATCGGCATCATTTAGTGGGCTGAAATTGGTATTCTCAAAGACTTCAGTTGCTTGGGCACCGGTATTCCTAAACGCACGTTCGCCGATGGGATGCAGTTTGGGGGTTGTTGTCGACATATCATCTCATCTATCCGCCGGCGTAACGAGACCGACAGTCACTGCCTCAAGCGCCATCAGAGTCCAACCGACTAACCAACTATGCAGGGGGCTTCCCGGACCACCAGCAAGCCAAGCCATCGTGTGGCGGTGCAGTCTTCTTTCCTTTTTTCTGCCATCTTCCCCACCTTCTGAGACTGAATTCCCTTCTTCGTTACTACTCCTAGAGCCTGTTGTTCTGGTTTCATACCCATCCTGTTCCCTTATGCCAAATATTTCGTCTTCATCAAATTCGAATACCCCGCGATAGGAGTACATGGCATAGCAGCGTCAAAACCACGGAACTTTTCATCTCATTATCCAAGGTTGAGTCCTCCGCTGCCCATTGTGGCCGTACCCTCGAACCGCGGAATCCCCCAGGCTCGCGCGAAACGATTTTGAACCATCATACGTACAGTACCTCGGTTAGCGACAGAGGCATTCTTGCCCGTTTCAGATCCTATAGCGGCATCTGGTTACCTCCCCTACTCGAACTTCGAAAACGCTCCAACTGTTGTTAAATACGTGAGCATTTGATGGATCGGTGGGCTCCCCTTCTTTTTGATGTCCCTGATTTCAAAAATAATAAGTACAAAGCCTCACAATCGTCTCAGAAAAACGCAGGCCAAGAATAGTGGAAACTTCAGCGGGAATTCGGGGGACAGTAATGTCTTTGGTAATAATAATGATAATAATAATAATGGTAACACAAACACGAGAAACCTGAATACCATCATCAATCTTGGTCAGATATATCAAGGGTATGTGCCCAGAGCCAGGGACAGAGGTATTATCACCTTCCCCAAGGGACCTCCAGTAAAGATCTAATGTGCCATTACGGCCAGAAGAAGCATCCGGGCCTTGTCGGATAATTCCCTATTCCAGGAATAGCAAGTTTACTGGCCGTAAAGATCATATTGAGTCGATAAAAAGTCTTTCCACGCGTAACGGCCACAACCGGATCGCACTTCATGGACTCGGCGGCTCTGGGTATGTATTCATTATTGCTACTAGTATTTCGGGAGTTTGCTAAAATTACTCAGAAAAACTCAGATTGCCCTCGAATACGTTTATCAGCGCGCAAGCGAGAGCGATTGTGATATTTTCTGGGTGCACGGGAGTGGGGTACAAAAATTCAGTGAGGGTTTCAGAGCTATTGCGCGGCATGTTCGAATCCCACTGGCCACCGTTGATGCAGACCAAGAGGGATTCCTATTAAATATAAGGAGATGGTTTGAAGGTCCAGACAGTGGCGATTGGATATTGGTTATTGACAACGCCGACAATGAGGAGGACTTTAAGGGCAACAGCGGTCCAATCTCCAAATTTGTGCCACAAAGCCAAAGGGGCACCCTAATATTTACCACCAGATCACTCCGGGTTGCATCCTGGCAGGATTGCGAAAGGATCGATGTCGGAAAAATGGGCGAGGAGGAAGCCGAGGACTTGTTCTCGAGACGCCTTGGTAGATTGAACAATGTGAGAGATGAAGAAAAAGAGGCGATCGCATTGATCCTGGACTCTATGCAGCACATCCCGCTAGCTATCGTGGGAGCGGCAGCATTCATAACAGAAACCCAGACACCACCATCCACTTACTGGTCAATTTTTCGGGGGAGCGACGAACAAGCCAGAAGACTACTTTCACAACCGTTTTACGATATCCAACGAGAGGCGGATATGACTGAAGGCATCCTAGCTACGTACTTTGTCACCTTTGACCGAATCACACAGCAAATGCGCCTAGCCGCAGAACTTCTGCGTTTAATTGCCTTCTTCGATCGTCAGAACATACCCGAGGAGCTATTGAACCAAAGCGGTTTGGAAGGGGCGGATGATCCAATCGAGTTTCGCCAGGCCATTGGAAAACTATTGGGATTTTCGCTAGTCACGACTGTCAAAACTCATAACAAGACGTTTTACGAGGTTCATCGTTTGGTCCAACTGTCCTTGCACGTGTATTTACCAACAGAGGAGTTGAATCGATGGAGGGCTACTGCGCTAGGAGTAGTTTCCAGCTTGTTCCCCCGGAATTGGAGCACGTGGAGATATATAGGTTCTGAATACATTCCACATATACTTGCAGTTACCGAATATTCTACGGATCCTATTGCCGAAGAGCTTTGTTTTCGCCTGGGACGGTACTTTATGGATATGGGTTTCTACAACGACGCAGAAGCTCAATTGCGTCGATGTATCGCACTGCGGGAGGAGAGTAAAGAGTATGATAGGGATGAGGAAGGTGCAAGAAGGGTCACGCTCCTGGGGATGGTAAGCACATATCAGGGAAAGGCAGATGTGGCCGTGAAGATACTTCGGAGTTTGTTGGAGGATATTGAGGGATCATTGGGCCCAAATAATCCCATCGTCCTGGAGGCTTTCGACTGCCTGGCTTTAGCGCTTCGGCACCGCGGAAAGTACGGTGAATCGGAGGCGGTGAATCGGCGTGCACTGGAGGGTTGCGAGAAGATTCTTGGACCAGACCACCCGGAAACCCTAGTAAGTGTCAACAACCTAGCCATTGTGCTACGATCCCAAGGAAAGTACGATGAATCAGAGGCGATGAATCGGCGTGCACTAGAGGGGTATGAGAGGATTATTGGACACGACCACCCGGACACCCTAGCAAGTGTCAACAACCTAGCCATTGTGCTACAATCCCAAGGAAAGTAC